TTTCCGCTAGATTGCCAAGGATATCTCGGCGAGGTGGGTTGGTCCACGTCCTGATGGGAGAATACAGAGAGGGCTCTCTTTCACCAGTCATAGTTCTTATCCCCATCGTTCATTCTCGTTTTTTTGATATCATCCCGTCCCTTTCCTTCTACCCCCTTTTATTTCACTGCCCCCTGTATGCTGATCGCCCACCCATGTATTTGCCGTGCATGGCGACCCGCGTCGGAGGGAATGTGTGTCCTGACGGGTGAGGGATCTGTTTCCCAACTACTCACCTTGTGCTACGTTCTGGTTTTGCATCAAAGGATACGTTGTTTACGTAGTTTGAGGAATATTTCTTGTAGTTTTCAATGTATTTGCTTTGGCTACGCACTCTTCTGGACGGGCAGTCGGGAGCTAACCCACTCCCGATCAATGGGTTCGGACTGCACTCCAGAGTGAACCACCGCGTGGCAGTGCTGTGTCACCCCCCACTATCTCCGTGTCAACCCTAGCACCCCAGTGGGGTGTCGCCTTGTTGGATTCCATGGTGGGTGGGGAACACGGAGACGAGACGAAACCGCTTCAATCATATGGAGCAAATAACAAACCTCGTGCCCTCTTCCGCAAGGAAGAAGCAATTTTATAAGGAGACTAGATTTAAATAGTTTTGTTTCTTTCTCAGAGAAGAGAGGAACCGAAGAAAACTCGGGTTGTTCTTATGACATGCGCGGAGGAAGGAAAGAGTTTTAAAAGTGTAAGCGCGGTCCTTCTTCTTCTCCTTCTTCTTCTTCTTCTTCTTCTTCTCCTTCTTCTTCTCCTTCTTCTTCTCCTTCTTCTTCTCCTTCTTCTTCTCCTTATTATTATTATAGTAAATTACTTCCTCTAAAGCGTGGTGTAGCTAGAAACCATGTTTTGTGGGTCATTGATACCTAAAAATCTATTGATGTTAAAACGCCCGTCCGTCAGGATGGGGTCAATGCTGACACCTACTTTTTACAAAATTGATATTGCTGATGTAAATAAACTCTGAGTTTGAGTGGCTTCTTTTGATTTTGGGAGAACTTTCTATGAAGCCTCGATATCATTTTCAAAATTCTCTCAAATGGCACCAAATGTTTGACTAAACTTTGCCCTCGAAGAAAGTAAAGAACGCTTTAGAGAATGGTGCAGGTCCCATTCGTTGAAATCTCAAATTTTTCGAAAATTTGCGAAAGTGCAATTTTTTGAGGTGTCTTCCTACAACTGCAACATGGATGAAACATACTTTTTTCTTTAATGAAATCATTATTTAAAGACAGATCTTGAAATAAGGCCATTATATGTTTTCTGAAAATAGTAGTAGTTTTTCGTGAAAGTTTGCACGAAATATTGGCAATTTTGATTTTTTTAAACAAAGTTTTTCTTCATTTTCTCCACACATGTAAAAAGGACGGTAAAAAATATGGTGATATTCCTATTTTCGGCAAACCCTTGGCATTTTCTAAAAATGCAAAAAGTTAATATTTCAAAACTACAAAATTGAAGATAGTTTTGCTTGAAACAAATTTATTCTAAAAAATCAGATCTTTAAAAAAGGTCAAATACAACTCTTTTTTAAAGAAACTAGTAGCTTTCACGTAATTTTTTGTTGAAAATTAATGAAAATTGTAAAGAGTACCTTTGCTCAAAAAATAGTCTTACACTTCTTCATTGTGTTAAACAAGGGACACTTAAGAGAATAGTTTACATTGGCGTTAATCTCTTTGAATCTGAGAAAATTGTGTGTTGGAATTAGGTTGGGACAATTACATTTTGAAGCGTCGGCCCAAGTTTGAAACTCGCAGCGTTTCCACAGCAATAGAAGTAAGGCTCACGGAGAGTTAACTCGGAGGACCTCAGTTTGAGTCTCGGTGCGGAAAAAGGTTTTACTGGTTGAAAATACTTTTGACGGTTTATGTAGTAGTATAGTATATTGCGAGCACTTCGAAACAATGCGAGAAAGTATGTGCTGATGTAGCTCCTTAGAGAAACACAGAAGTGGCATGTTCACATGAGTAGCATGTTTTGACCAGAGGTGTGACCGGTGGGTTCGACGTCATAGTGGTCTCTCTCCTCTGTGTTCGACGTAGAGACCGAAGTTGTTCGAGCGTTCCCGTTAACATTCGGCGGACTTCGCATCGATAGAACCCGTCTTCCAGCCACATTTTCTCGTACTGGAGAGACGGTTGCTTCTGCCAGATAAGAAGTGAACATAGTTCGTAGTGTGTTGTGGAGACGTTGGAACAGAGTGGTAAGTTCATAAAAGTATGCGTACAGTGTGTTGTAACGATCCCATGAAATATATTCTTGCAAAGTGGTTAGAAGTTGGTGACCGCCGCGAGCTATAGATTCCCGCAGCTAGTTCTATAGATTCCCTCAGTGTGGTTGTGAAAGTTTGCAGTAGCGGAGTGTAGTGTGTAGTTGAATACGGAGAATAAATAAGTACGGAATTTGTGATCAAGTGGTATTGACATCTTAATATTCGAGAAGAATAATTGGAGTCTTAATGTTTGCTTTTGAGTACCAGCTTTTGAAGTATTGCTGCACTTACTAACTCGAAGGAGAGGCGCTAGTCCGGAAACGATGTCATACGTAGAAAAGTAACCGTAATTAGTATGCTAACTATAACAAAAAGCTATTTAGAAAGTTAAATATTGTAAGGTCTTAATAAATTGTAATCATCGTTAGGTATTCGCCCGAATGTCAGAACCTCTTCTAGTACGGCTGTCTTCACGCTCTTCTGCCCCCAGGTCATCTTTGAACGAGTATTTTTATAGTTCGAAAGCTTTTTTTACCAGATTCAACTTCCACTTCCCTCGTCCCTTCATACCATTCAATCTCCTTCAATTTGGACGGTCAAAAATCCTCTTTCTGTTACTTTATGACCCGGCCAGTTTCCATAGTTTTTTTAGAATTATACATTTTGTCGTGTTTCGTCTTCTATCCCTTTTACACATTTTAATTTCTCACTTTCAGCATCATTTACTTTATCTTCCTCCATACCACCATAAATTGTTTTACTTCCGAATTTCCAAAGTTTACTCCCGTACTAACGGTAAGGGACGTAGATATCACTTGACCTATCTCCACTTCTTGTACGAACCAGTTGCATTACTTCATACAGTTATACAAATGAATTAGTTTTATAATGATACTTAATTGAATCTTCTTTGATACATTTATTTTCTTCAGGTTTTTGTAAACAAGACCAACTTTTCAGACGTTCTTACAGAAGAGTAGTTCTTGGAATCATCTCTAATTTGAAAGGAAAAGATTTAAAATGGATTCTGGGTAAGAAAAAAAGGTTTCCTCAATGTCTCTTTTGTTAAAATTGTCATTGCTTTAGAACAATTTGCGTGCTCTAAATCAAATACGTAGGTTGGAAGAAAGTGTTCAATTTGGTTAATTGAGTAAAAGGGTACTAATCCTGTTTTTCGTATATCACAAACAGGCGGTTGGATTTGGAAAATGGATATGATTTCATAATAAAGTTAAAATGCAACATAAATGGTATCAATACCGATGACATTCATGGAGTCAAAGTGGTGAGTAGAATTGTAGTGCGATATTAACGAACAGTTTAAAAACTAGTACCCTGAATCAGCAAAAACTGCTGCGGAACAAGAGCGCGCAACAAATTATCTGAAAATTGCACTCGCACTGCTTAAAAACAAAGAAAATACTCTCGCACAACACTGCCATATGCTGTGTTAGTCTGTGTGAACTGTGTGAATCTTGTGAACTGTGTGAGTCTGCGAGCGTCTGTTGTGTGTAAGAGTAAGAACGCGAGAGTTCTCTACAAACCAATACAATAAAAAAAGTTGATATTTCTTATCGCAACACGTGACACCAGATTGAATCACAAGAAACAATGATTGAAGGGTTTCTTAAAAGAACCAAACTAGTCCAATTCGACATTTTTCAGGAGGCACTCAAAACGAAAGGAAATTTCCAGCAGATAGCGCCAGTTGTAGGAAATCACTTGGTGAAATATCTCAAAATGTGGGATTTTGGTCTTGATTGGTTCTGGTAAGAACCCTCAACTATTTTAATTATAATGCTCGTATAAAATTTGAATGAAGTACAGATTTGTAGCATGTGTTTCAATTTCAGAAAATAATCATACATTGTGAAGAACCTGCAGATCCCCAGAGAGTGCACGTGAAGATTAATTTGCGTGAATTGTAATTACACACGCAACTTGGAGCGTCTTTGGGTCGGACAGAAGTACTGCTTCATGATGGAAGCGCCTACAAGTCGGCTGCAATTTCTTCCTGATAAGGGTGACGCTGTGGAACATCTTGAAATGGGGTTTTAAAATTTAGGCTCTTAAAAATGTTCAGTCAGGTTCGGGTTTGAAGCGCTGAAATGGGATTTATGGCATTACCGTACACCCCAAACATTGTAGTTATGAATGTTGAATGGTTTTCTGCTGTTTACAACACGTAGAAATAATTGTTTGCATACTCAAACCATGTCTTGTAATCACGTGAACTATTACAAAATGTGTTTATTTTAAATTTGTTTATTGTGTGTCTTTAAAGTATGCATGACACTTTCTTTAGTTTCGTGGCAAAACCGATTCCCTTTTAATCGAAATGATCCTGTACCTAATTACGTGCATTGTAGATGTAACCACATGACGGAAACGTTACAAGAGGCATACAATTGTCTTCAATGAAACATGTAATAGTTTTGTTTGAAATAAAGGAAGAACTTACTGGTAATGTTTCGTTTTCCTCCTAAATATTTAAGTTATAATCACAATAATTCCCGTTCCTGAGCATTTGTCCTATTCCTCTACAAAGTGGTACCAGTGACCGCCATCACGATCCATTGAGAAAATTCTGAGATGGCTTTTTGCATTACTTCTGGGCAGTAAATTGAATTTAATTATCTGTGCAAGCTTTGTTGAGTTCTTATTTTCCTAAACATCAGAGGAGGGGTGTATATCGTCAGGAAAAATGTGGTTACGAAGTGTGCTACTGCGGGATAGCAAAATGCTCCGCAGACCTGTACCAGAACAAAGGCGGAAAAGTAGCTTAATTGGAGGGAAAATTATGCTAAATAAATATGATGGAAAATCCAGGCGCATACGCAACCCGCAGCACAGTTTCTCTGGAACAGGCTTCACCACCCCGCACGTCACGGAAACGGTGCGTGCTACTTCCTTAGAGCCATGTTTTCCGAGTCCCAGAATAATCTAATTTATTATATCGTAATCTACAAAAAGAAACTTTTGCACATTGTATTGACACACACACACACACACACACATCCGTAGAACAGGATATCAGAAATGTGCGAAATTGGATTGCAGCTGGTTGAAACTATTTTCACTTTTAATAACTGTGATCAACAGAGTTCGGAATGTTTGCGTGGCGTCAACTAGATTTTATTTATTTTGACATCACGTTAATTTCCTTCGTCCTTATTCTACTTCTTTCATCTCACTTTTATTTCAACATCCCCTTATCACTTTAAGGGTTTTTTTTATTTTTTTTTTATTTTTTTTAAATTTTTTTTATGCTAGTTGCTTTTGTTACCGCAGGCGACAATCCCCATATTTCATCCCTTAGCTTACTTTCCTTCCCTTCCAATATGTATTCTCTGATCTAATCTTTGTCACTTTACCTAAAAAGCAACAAAGCTTCTCCCGTACCTTTGGCTTTCCCCTCGTCCACACCTACACTTTGCTCAACCATGTTTCTTTTTTCTCCATTTATTTTCTTCAGCACATACTTCGTTTCCTGTCCCGTCTATAACCTTGAACATTTCGTTGTATCTTGAATCCAATATCTTGCCATTTAGTGCAGTAGATGGGGAGTTATAAGAGGTTTCAACATTTCAATACACTTACCATTTTGTTCTGAAGTTTCACTATGTTTTTATGGACACTACATTGTAGTATTCATTGTTTCTAGGAATCATTATAAATTAATAGGTATTAAATTTTAATGTTTTAATACCTTCCACGGCAAAATTCACGTGTTAAAATGTTGGTAAGAGAGACTACGAACTGCCTACAAACACGATTACTGTTGTATGTGGAGATTTTAACATAATTTTTTGGCAAGATTGTCCCAGAAAAATCACGTTCCTCGACATAATCCACACTTCTAATTTATTTAGGTTCGATAGCCCTGATGAGGGAACAATAAAGCCTCGATGCGTGTGCGAACTAGGATTTTAATTATTTGACCAACATCCATGAATTATTTCCATAATTAATATTGTGGTCGTGAATTCAAAGGTTAATGTACAACTTTCTTTGAATGTGTTGATCTTTGATTTCGTTTTCCCTGCAAATATTCAAGAAAAGTTACAATATTTTTTAAATGAAGGAATGAAAAAGAGTGAAGTGTGATATAAAATATTATTTTAAAGTACCTTCGATTTAATCCAAACCTATCTCCGTTAATAAACGCTTAACAGTACAGAAAGTTTTACTCACGTAGTGGTGGTGGTGGTGGCAGCAGCAGCAGCAGCAGCAGCAGCTCATAGATCGCGTGCGATCCTTGCTAAATCCCCCTAAGCGCATAATCAAAGCCGTTACGTGCCAACCTTTTTTTTTTTTAATTGGGAAGGAATCAGCACAGTGCTTAGGGTTTAGGACATTTCATAGAATGTGGACTAGCCCCCGTGAAGCAGTCAAGCTCGTTTTGTCGGAACAAATTTCACAGGAGATTGTCCGGTAATCGAACCCGGATTTCCTTGGTGAAAGAAGCTACTTTCTCTCTAAGCCAGGAGTTGGCTCAAATATTTTTGATCTCTAGATATTAATTTGGTATCACGTTGGTTTAGCCTTATTCTGTCGCAGACGTATTGGTTTAAAATTAAGCGTCACTTTTCCGTAAACAAGTACATGTCCTTTTGTGTGGCATCCGCGTATTCGCAGATCAACGGATTCGTTTCTAAATCGTGTGGATAGACATTTTAAAAAGAGGTCAGCGTTTTCACCGGTCCTAAGGACCTGAGTGGAACGGAAGGGGGAAGGAAGGATCGCGCAAGAGCGTCTAAAAGATATGTTCAGATAAATTGACACACATTAAAACGATTTAACGAAGGCTTGCTCCACATGACCCACCCTTCCATGGTACCATTTGAAACAAACGCTCAAATACGTTTGTAGTGTACGAGTATGGGGAATGCTTCCCCCAGTGCATCTCCAAAATTTGGGGAATTTATGGAAAATTTTGGGAATCTTCCCCCAAAATACGCGTGTTTGGAACCAATGACATACCACATTGCGTGCGCTCTTACATCACCTGTCGAATGCTAAGAACCGGATTTCCATATCTTAAAAGGAACAAAAGTATTTGGGGCGCACGTAGTTACTGAGAAGCACATCAATGAAACACATTATTGAGGAGCACATGTGATAGGGATGATCCATTTAGCAGAAACTGACATCGGATTATTTTCTAGGGCTTTTATCCAACTGACAGCCAGTTACCCTTTACGTCCCAATGGGACGCATATTCGACCCTACATTAGACACCAACACACATGCGGGCTACTCTGATCTGGGGTCAACACACGACACGAGGCCCTCAACGACAACACAAACATGAGAGACAAGGAACAAACAACCACGCCCAAAGCGAGACTCGAACCTGCGACTGTTCAGACCAAAGCGCTGAATCGGTACACGATCATAGCCACCTCAGCTTTTCAGATCGGCTAAAAATGTAAATAAAAATTTAATTTGTTATTTTTTATTGTTATATTAAATATATTAATAATATATTTAAAATTATATATTGTAATTTATAAAAATGCCTTTGTTTTAAAAATTAATTAAAATAACATAATTAAAAATAGTAGTTTACATAACGGCGCGAAACATGTGATTCCCGCACTTGTCTTTGGGATGACAAACTCGACTCGTGCGTGAATCACCTATTTCGCGCCCGTGTTGCGTATACTACTTTTTAACACGCCGTGAGAGAAACGGAATGCGTCAAGTAAAGGAATATAAATTAAATACCAAATAACTAGAAATACTTGTACAAACGTAAATGGATTCCAGTGAGCGTCGTTACACTGTTTATTATTTACAAACAAATAAAGATGCCAAGACAGACAATTGCCAATCGTTAAAGATGTTTCATACACGCTTCGCGATGTTTCGCACACGCTTTCCGATGTTTTGCGCGCTCTTTCCGATGTTTCGCACATGGAAAACAAGCCCGAAAAACCGCGTGTCGCGCACGGCGTGTTGACATTTTTTAAAATATATATTAATAATTTTGTGTTTGCAAATTTATGTTGTCAATTTATTATAAATTACCGACAAAGTTTTTAAGCCTTTACCATACATAATCCCCAAAGAGTATGTGACGAGCCTCTCCGCGGTGTTGCCGCACTTATGACCTTGGGGTGTCAGCGGTGGGTCCGGGAGTGAGCGGCAACCCCGCGCGTGTCTCTCAGGTGTCTCGGGCTGCATTCCACAGGAGTTGGCGTCAGCAGTAAATTGAAACCAGGGCATTCAAATTTCATTTTTCTCATTTTTACAGCACATCCGCTGCGTCAGCATTTGCATTCCAGAGGCTTTTGTTACAAACTGGCACGGTGACAAATCCAAAAAGAGTTTCGGGAAGGCTGATTTCTTTGCGGACCTTAACATGATGGTCAGAAAGAAGAAAAAGAACGCATGATATTTTTTTATTATAATTATTTTTAATGCATTTTTTAAAAATAAAAGTAGTTTAACAGTGAATGTGGTACGGTCAATATGCAGTAATTTTTAATTAAGTAAAATTACAATACATATTTGGGCGAAAGCATTACTCCCAAGTTCTCTCTTTGTCTCCGCCTCAGAACTGGCAGTTCTACAGAGGTCGGGCGCATATTGATCAAATTTGGCTCCGCAGCTGGGATGCAAAAATGGGAAAACGAAATGCCGTTCAAAGTCTTAAAAAAAGTACGACTGAATTCCCAAAGAATCCAAATAATATGAAATGGACAAAATAAGCTCATTAACGGGTCGAATGTGGTGGAATTGTGAGCGCGCTCGCAAAGCGCACATTCGTAATTCTTTCACGGAGGCCAAAGATAACAAAAACCCCGCTGAACAAAATCTCATAAAATGGTTTGCCAAAAAGTAGCATGCGCACTGCGCAAGAACAATGTCGGAACAAGGACGGATGTCATTGAAGTGCCTCTGACCGGGAGGTCCTAGGATTGAGTCCTGTCGGTAGCAAGATATTCGACTCTAGCTTCTCGGGTATATCGAATTCAGTCGCTGTCTGAAGGAGAATTCTAGCGGCCGTCTACTCGGATCGATAGTATTCCATGTTCTCTCCGATCAACACCAGGGGAATGCCGAAAAAGTACCCTAACAAACTGGCTACGGACCGCGCGCGATCTTTCCTTCCCATTCCTTGTCTTATCCTTACCCCTTACTCACACTTAGACTTACTAGCGCTATACAACCACATGCCGGGAAGTTCGCCGGCAGCATAGCGCTTGTTCCGGCTGGGGCGGTGCCCCGCTGGTGGGAGATACCTGGTTGAAGGAAGCCCCGCTAGCGGTAGGTCCGCGGCGGATCTCGCTATCCACCGCCTCGCAAGATTACCACCATGCAAAAACATGAACTACACATACGTGACTAATGACCTAGTTAACGCGCCCAGAATCACTAGTAATCAATCATTAAAATAATTTTTGCAAAATATTTCCTAGGGCTTCTACTTTGGTGTTGTCAATGTGTCTTTTGCGACCATTCGCGTCTACGTGTCTTTGCTTAAAGTTTCTTGTTGCGTCATGCGAAGATTGGTTGATAAGGATTTCCGAACGCGTCAACTGCTAATATTATTAGTCCATATATGTAGTGCATTTTTTTATCGCGGGAGGAAGCAGTGATCTATGCTGAGGTCCGGCGTCGACCTATACATCAGGTAGCGGGGTTTTCCCCAACCAGGTATCTCTCACCAGCACCGCCCCAGCCAAGACAAGCTGTAAGCCCCCGAGTGAGCTCCCGACGGATATAGAAGTGTAAAACACGCAAGTGTAAATGTGTGTAAGTAAGGGGTGAGGATAGGACCAAGAAGAGAAATGAAAGATCGCGCGCGGCCCGCGGCCCGTTTTTAGGGTACTGCTCCAGCATTCGCCTGGTGTTGATCGGAGAAAACATGGAATAATACCTACCAGA